CCTCCTCAAATTTAGAATGAGACATAAGTTAAAAGCCCGAAGGACTGTGGGAGCAGAGGTGAGATTTTACTTCTACTTACAGTGGAAGTCGTCCAAGAGAAAGGCAAGAGTAATGAGTTGATCACGTATATGGAGATAAAGGTAAGAATGTGTAAATTTGTAAGGATTAGGTTTAACTGCAAAGCACAAATCAGTGGCTTAAACAAGGTAGAGATTTATTTGTGTCTCCAAAAGAAGTCCAGAAGTAGACTGTCCAGGACTGGTATGGTGGTTCCATGGTCATCACAGATCCCAACTTCTTCTGTCTTCCATCCTGAAGATAGTATCATGCTCCAAGACCACTAGTGGAGATTCAGCCACAGAGTCCACATTTCAGACAAGAAAAAGCCAAATGAGGGTTTAGAGAAGCACACAGGATGAGCCTCCCAACAGAGTTAGTTCACTGAAGGAACTTCCCCGGAAACACCATCAAATAACTTCTGCTTATAGCCCCTTAGCAATCCTTAACTGCAACGGAGAATAGAAATACAATATTTTAGCTGTTCACACGTCATCCCCAATAAAATATGGGTCCTGTAAATGTACAAGGAGTAATAGATATTGGGTATCATATTAACGTTTGTTTTTTGTTTTTTAATGACGTTTCTCATTTTCTGTATTTTACGATGCTTTGACATCTTGGGGCCTGGCAGACCCTGGGAGGGACTTTCCCCACTCCACCCCCAAATGATAGCTGATTCCTAGAAATAGTAAAGGACTTGCCCACGAGCATGCCTCTGATATGCACACCAAGCAACCCTGCGTTCATAGCCCTCATTAGCCTTTCATCAGGCTCCTGAAGTCCAGGACACTACTCCTCTGCCTGAAATCACCCCAGGGCAAAAAGGTACCTGACAACTAGGGACCACCCCTATTACCCACTGCCTGCTGAAATGTATTCAAACTGTCCAATCCTAAACTTGCTCAGCGCTCCTATCCTGTCTCACCCATTCTTTCCCCATGAAAACAACAATAAAAGCTCTGACCCATGCTTTTCCCTCGCTCCTTTTGCCTCCTGACCTACCCTGGTACCTCTCCCTGTGGTCCTGGCATGGTGTTTTGCACGCCCTCCTCTTGAGAACTGTTAAATAATCAACTCTTCGTTCAAAGGCAGTTGTCTCTGTGTCTGTCATCATACCATTCCCGATTAGAACAAATCCCATGTACATCGTAAAACAGGTAGGCAACTGGAAATCCTTCCCACAATATGGTTTTCCACAACAGGAAGCTGGAATCCTGGCATCATCCGAAAGTCATCTCACAAAAATCTGCTTACAATGTGTCTGGCAGAAGAAAAATAAAGTCACTCTTGCCTCAGCATCTCTTCTGAGTGCCAGACTCGTTAACCTTCACCCTCCCAAATATAAGCTAGAAAGTCTACAGTTAAACTATTTTCAAAACTAAACTCATTATCTTCGCTCTTCTCAAATCTGCTGCCACATCCATGTTCCTTAGTCTCTAATAAAATGTCATCATCTACACAGCTGCCCAAGCAGAAGTTTCAAAAGTATCTTCTGGAGTCCCACGAAGTGGCCTCTGGGGTGCTTTCAGGTACCCGGGTAGACCCACGCAGTCCACCAGGGGGGTCACTAGAGGCCACAGAGCTCTAAATTGCGGCCGGACAGCGTGACCAGGAGTAAGTGTAACACACACCGGACGCCAAGACTGAGGACGGATGGGAGGGGAGTGTATGATATTCCCTTGATGACTTTTTATATTGACATGTTGGGATATTCTGTATACATTGGGTTAAGTAAAAGTATTAAAATTTAGAAAAAAAAATTATCTTCTGATTGCCTTTTCTCTTACCACCAACACCTGTTCTGTCACCACTAGATGCTGCACAGGAGCTACGCGTCCTCGGTTGTCTCCAACCCAGAGCCTAGCACAGGACCTGGCACGTAGTTGGTACGCGACGAATGAGTCGATGTGAATCCTAAACATCCCTCGTGTCACCTCTCATCCCCACTTTACTAACCTTTCCAGGCTTATTCAGTAGCTTCCTAACTACCGCCAGGCTTTGCTCCTTCTAATCCTTCAACTGTCTTCACAGTTCTTTCTAAAGCACAATTCTGATAAGATGTCGCTGTTTTAAAACCTTCTATGGATCCCCATTGCCAAAGTCCTCTGCAAGCTTTCAACGCCCTTTACAATCTAGCCTCAAATACCTTTCGTGTTTTATCTTCGAATGCTTCGTATACTTTTAAGTTTCTGGACCTTCGTTCGTGCCGTTTCCTCTGCTGAAAACTAACCTAACTATTGTCTTCTGCGCCCCACTGGACTCTGTTTCTACCGTAACTAGAGTGTCTCTCCCATCGTATCACACTTGCCTACACAACTCCTGCTTTTACCTCCCCCATCCAACCCGCACCACCCTACACTGCGAGTCCCTTCAGTGCAGGAGTCCTGTTATATTCACCGCTACATCCACGCTGTACGGCTGCATGGCATATAGCAGGTGCCCACATGGCCTCTGAGTGTAAAAAAGATGCCCAGGTTAATAGTAAACAGCCATAGAAGATTAACAACAAACCAAAGAAAAACAATGACCTAAGTGGAATACGTGCTCAGTAATCCATGGACATTAATAACTCAACAAAAAAAGGTCGAGTACAATAAACTGAAATTAAAATGCTCTCCTAAGTATCTCCTGAGACTTGGTGAGATGGGCGTGGTGACTGAGAGATACACCTTGTTTAAAATAACTGCAACAACAGGGATAATAGCCAGCATGTATTGAGCACTTGATTCAGTTACTATGTGCTAAGTAAGTTACATGTATTACTTACTGTGTTCTTCACAGTAGGCCTATAAAAGTTCGATTACTATTATCCCTGTTTTATTCACAGGAAAACAAAACAACAAAAATCAAAGGCATGGAAAGTTAAGAAACTCACCAGAGTTCACCCAGCTGCTCTGAGTAAAGCAAAAATTCAAATGCAGGCTTTCTGACTGCACAGCCTTAAGTGAACTATTATGACAGACCACCTTTTTCCCAAATGACTGGTACAGCAGGAAAACTAAAAAATGTCAAGATGTACACTTATTTGGACAAATAGGACCCTAAGGTCCAAAGCATGGCAGAGAGCTAATGGATGAAGGGTCAAGAGAGAAAAAGAAAAATTTCAATATTGTGGATGCATGACTCTTGACAGCCGAAAAAGCTACACATCATCCTATCACAGACTGTGGGACTAGCACAGGGGCCAAGTATAGTAGTTTTGAGAGGGGACTTCAATGCTGTTGGTGCCTACCAAAAGTCTCACTCTCTAAAAAGTGAGTCTGACAAATTCTTGAACAATCTTCCTGACAATTTCAATGCTCAGTAGGAAGGAAACCATTGTAGGCAACAATAAAAGGAGCAGACACTCTGAACTTATTTTAACCAGTAAAGAGACACTGCTTGATAAAAAGGAAGCAAGAGGAATATGTAAAGATAACCTGGTAGAGAAATTAAGTGTGACTTATCTTCCTGTGGGATCATCGGACTGAAAATGAGAAAGAATAAAGAGGCAGAGGTATTTCTCCCTCACTCGTAATTCTCCCCCCCAACAAAAACCTAGTATGTACTGAACTCCTGGTGTGATCCAGATGCACCTTGCATAGGGCGCTGGTCACAAGTCAGCAGTGGGGTTCTGGTTATGCAGGGCCAATGTGAGCGGGAAAGCAGCAGGAAGGAGACCGTAAGGCAGAAAGCAAAATGCAAACTTCACGTACCCAAGTTCAAACCCCAGATGTGCCTCTTACAGGCTGTGTGACTTTGACGTCTCTCAACCTCTCCATTTCAAGTTTCCTCACCTGTAAAACGGGGATAATACTACCTTCTTCTCAGGGTAACAGTTAAATGAGACAATGATAAAAAGCACTTAACTCAGGGCCTTGCGTGCAGGTGGTAAGCACACAATAAATGTCAGCCGTTAATATGATTATTGTTACCTTGTAAGATATTTCTCTGTAGCGCATTAACCTTGGGATCATCTCTCATTTTCTACAATGATCTGCTTGCCGTTACTCCCACCAAATCTTCAGGGCACATAATGCAAGCCCTGACAGCAAAATAAGTAAAGTGATCCTGCCCTCATTTTCATGTTGATGTTTCAGGGCAATCCAACTGAACAACACACATTTACAAAGCCCTAAAATGTCACTGTGCTCGGCCGAGCTGGACAAGGGCAAAAGGGTAGTCTGAGTAAAAGACAACACTGCCTTCAAGAATTACACGATATCTTTCGGGAACAATGAGAAACTACCACTAATTTCCCCTAAATGAGCTGCAAAGGTTAGACTGAAACGCAGTTGGCAATGACAAGTAATCCCCAAAACAGCCACAGAACCGTGTCTTTGGTGTTTTCAGATGTCTTTGGACAGATCAATCTGTCCGATTTTCAAGAAATGGATGACTCTCTGAGAACTGCACCTCGCAGCAAATAGTGGATCTTATCTGGGCTGGTCTTTAAAGTCAGCCATTCTGGGTTGTGTACGTTTATTAAGAGAATACAAGAAAAAAAAAAAAAGAAGTGTTTAAGCATGAGATGTTACGATACAGATAATGCGGGAAAAACTGCATGAAAGAATATCTTGTTCACCTCTAGCACATGAAGTGGTACTAGCTTAACATGAATGAGGAGAGCAAGCCTGGCTTGGAAATAATGGAAAGATTTTTTTCCCCAAAAATGTAAAGAGCTTTGGCTTCCCTGGTGGCGCAGTGGTTGAGAGTCCGCCTGCCGATGCAGGGGACACGGGTTCGTGCCCTGGTCCGGGAAGATCCCACATGCCATGGAGCGGCCGGGCCCGTGAGCCATGGCCACTGAACCTGCGTGTCCGGAGCCTGTGCTCCGCCAACGGGAGAGGCCACAACAGTGAGAGGCCCGCGTACCGCAAAAAAAAAAAAACAAACAAAAATGTAAAGAGCTTTATTTACTTCTTCTTCTTATAAAGATAATACATACTCAATGCTTAAAAAAAAAAAAAAAATTACAAAATTGTAAAAAATAAGGAAAATCATAATCTTCTCAGAGATCATCAGAGCATTTTGATTTTTCTCCTTCCAGACTCTTCTAAGTATATATTTATATCAATTACTTTTTTTCAAATACGGGAATAACACCACACATGCTGTTTGATACTTTTGCTCCCACACTTCCATGTATCATACGCATCTTTCTACCTAACCCAGAATCCCAAAATCAAAGTCACAGGGCAGTTTTCTGCAGGTACATTCCCTGACACCGTAAGAACATGAAAAAAGGAAATGCAGGACACAAAACTTGGACTAGAAGACCCCTACGGTCTGTTACTGCTATCAGATTCCACAGGTCTACTCCGAGACTAGGCTCGGAACAGTAGAAAGTTTCTCAGGAGACGGGGCTGCCTGCGGGGGGAGGGCAGAGTTTATGCTCCCACAGCCTGCCTGGTTGTGGACCCCGGGTCTGCAGTATCACACGTACGCTGAGGCCTCTGCACTGAACACCTGACTCTGAAAGCCCTGCTGCCCAGCCTCAGAGCCTCTCAAGCAATCTCCAGTGGGAGTCTGCAGAAGGGCCCCTCGGCTCGCGGGGATCCTGGAGGACACACTCTTCTTCTGCCCCTGCACCCTGGACTCAGAATCGCTTGGGGTTGGTAATTAAGCAGTTTTGTTCACCATGTCACTTTCCCAAAGCACAGAGTCATCACTCAGTTTAAACAGGAATACTAATCCACATTAACTTCTCACAACTTTGAAGGAGCATAAAAGTACCTTTGCTGAGGAAAAAAATTAAAAGTTGCCCAAAAGACAAATCTCACCTACTTTACAATTTTGCTTAAGGAATGTGGCGTAAAGGAGTGAAGACTACATCACCAGTTTTAATGTGGGAACTCAAGAGAGCAGACTTAATGTGCTGACTAATGGTGCCAGCTACAGGAAAAAAAGAAAAAGATGGTTGAAAAAAAATAATTAAAATTTTAAAATAAATAAAGATAGCTGATATGAGGAAACAGTAATTAATTTTCTACTGTTCCTGGGCGAAAGAAAGGATAAAGCTAAGGAACTCCATTTTTCCTTAAACAAGCTGTGAGTACAAAATGCTGCTGATGTGTGCAGAAAATACCTTAAAACAAAAAGTCAAGGGTCCATAAAATAACGTGTGAATTCTGAACCTGTTAAAGTCCAGCAGGGTCTAAGCTACAGTTAGCACCACACTCTCTCAGGCAGAGGGGAGAGGACATGTAGAAGTAAAAGATGCATTAAAAAACTGAGTTTGTTTTATGTAATCTTTACTAGTAAATTACTAGTACTCTGTCAGAATCTTACAATAAAGGTAACTGTGCATACACAATTGTACACAGTATGTACAACAAGAGACCATGTAGAAAAATAAGAGGAAAATGTCATACCTGGGGCGCTAACCTAGAGAGGCAGGGACTCCCCTGAGAGTCTGTATGAGACTAAAAGGACAGAGAATGGGGTTTAGAAAGATAGAAAATAGTGAAACCAGAGCCTATGTCATCACCTGGAGATGGACTACTTCATCCCTAGTTATACTTTAGGACTTTACTGCTAGTAAACTCTGTTTCACAAATGCTACTAGTGAAATTGTCCAAAAACAGAAGACGTGAATAATGTAGGTTCATCTTGAAGCTATTTAGATTAGATATTAACCACTGTTCAGCAAGCCCCTACAATTTAGGCTAAAGCTTAATATCCCATTGGGATCATTCATGTGTCAACATTTATTGCCTATTCTGTGCCAAGCAATGGTTAAGACGCAGGTACATAAAGAAGATACAGTTCTTGCCTTCTAGTCTATAAACCAAACAGATAAGGAAATCAGTATTTACAACCATGGGATAAATGTATGACGTACAGCAATGCTCAATAAACACTGAGTAGCTAAATCAATACTATAATAGAAGTGTGCACAAAAAGGGGGGGGGAGCTTCCGAAAGGACAGTTATCCCTCTGCCATAACACGGATGACCCTAACAGTTCACTATCTTGTATACTTATACACAGAAACTGTCTCTTAAAGAATAAAAAACTAGTGAATGCCATAACATACAGGAGCTACCAAGGTTCATGACACGAAAAGGGGAAGGAGAACAGCAGTCAGGAAAAATATTATCACTCATTTTACATAGAGTATTTTAATTCTTGTCTTCAGAAACTATAAGGACTATCAAGATTTGGAAACGAGACTGTACCAAACAATGGCCAAAGAAGAATCGTCCATTCTATGCCTTCTCTTTCGTCTGGTCACTCAGAAATATAATGTTATCTGTAAAGAAGCCAAAGCATAAATGTTATTTTCAGAATGCTTCCTCCATCTCATTTAATCATTCCCCTCTACCACATACATATTTTAGTGCTATTCACTGAAAAGACTTTAGACAAATTCTCAAAATATTATGTTCTTGCTATATTGCTTGCTATGTCCTTGAGAGGTATATACAATAGGCATAATGGAGCTAAAAGCTGGGCTTCAACCGTTTATCAACAGCTCAGACCTTGTGAGAAAAGGTGGGATACTTCTCATCTTCCCTGAAGATAGCTAAGGTCTTCTCAGTGATAACTTTCTACAGAAGAGCTAGTCACAAATTCTGATGCTTGCAGTGCTCAGACAGATGCCATTAAACCGGGGAGCACATCCTCACAGAGAAAAGGATCCCGGGAACACAGTCCACAGGCTGGAGGGATGGAGGAAGGACAGGGTTCAACAAACGGCCCCATCGCACAGACAGACTTATTTATGTTTTTTAAGCCTGAACACTTATACAGAACACATTTTATTTTTAAATTTTAAAACAGAATGAGTTTTATATATTCACTCTTGAGAAAATTTTTACTATCAGTATTTCACAGAGAACATTTTTATCCAAAAACATCAGACACTGCTCTTAAAATATTGTGCAGAAAGAGTTAGTTTAGGACAAGCAAAGGAAAAGAAGTAGTATCTCCCGTATAACACCGAAAGATCTACATTCTTAAAACTTCAGAATTATTCAAAAACGGTTGTTATATAGTAACTGAATATTTGTTGACGACTGTAGTCTTCTAAAACTAGAATGTTTTGGAACAGAATGGTTAGTATAAGAGATTATCAGAATTGACATCACTGTGTAAAAAAGACAAGCGTGCCACCTGCTGGTGGTTATTTTTAAGCTACATTGATCCAAAGGAGAAAAAAATATGGCCTATAAAACAGATAAGCCAAATTAAAACTCTGTTCTCTTCCATTCTAATGTCACTAAAGACCTGTTCAATTTTACTATTAGCCGTAAACCTATGTTAACTGCTTAATCATTCATGCTAGTGAATACTGGTGACAAGAAAAAAAGAAAAGGCTGATAATTTGAAATGCTTCTGTTTGGCCTGGTTTATAACAATTCACACAATCCAAAATCTGCCCTCACAATAGGTTTACAGTGGAATATGAAAGTGTTGAATGCTTCATAAATACATGATCAATAGATTTTAAACTGTCAATTCTTTTATGAGAAAGCTTGATCTTCCACTGCTGAAATCACAGGGGTAGTTCTATACCATATACAGGTCTAGAAAAAAATTTTTGAATAGGTAGATACATCTGGAGGCTTGACCCAAGGAGGAACAGGGCGGGCAGGAAGTAATTTACTGTCACAACACTCAAGAATTATGAAAGCAAACCAGTCAGAAAAAACCTCATCTAAGTTATCAAGGTCAGTACACTTTCAAAGAAACCGGTAAGAAAATATACGATTATTATTTACAACAAATTATAATTTATCCATATGGCACAGTAGTTAAGACAAACTCTGGAGCAAGTGAAAAGAGAAAGATAAGAGAAAAATCTGTCAGTTAGGAGACTTAAGTTGTCAGACTTTTCGCCTCCAGAATTGTGCGAAAATTCATTTCTGTTGTTTAAAAAAAGAAAATAAGAGACACTTAAGATACATATAAACCATGTAATATGATGTATGGACTGGTATTTATGAAGCAGTCAAAGAAATTTCAATACTACGACATCTGGTAAAAAAAATTTTACAATAATTTCTTAATATTAGGTGTGATAATAGCACTATAGTTATGTTTTAAAAAGGAATCTATCTTTCAGAGATACCTACTGAAATATTTATGGATGATATAATGTCTGAGATTCCCTCAAAATAATCCAGGTGGGGGAAAAGGGGGCTGGGTCATAGATGAAATAATATTGGCCATCTGTTGATAACTGTTAAAGCTGCATGATGGGAGTTTTTGTTTCTTACTATTCTCTCTCCTTTTGTGTATGTTTGACATTTTCCATAATAAAAAAATTAATTTTTAAATGATATCTAATTTGGGCATACCTCAGAAGTTCATAAATATTGAGATACTACTATAATAAAAGTTCTTTTATTCCCATCTACTTATTTATCAAAACAAGGTTTCTCAGTTTTTATATTGATAAAAAACAAGAAAACAGAATGAATGCTTTTTTAGCAATTTATCCAAAAGGCAAAAAATGCATCATCTATCTCATTAAGATACATTTTCAATAAAATTTTAGTTTGTATACATATATACTAAAGTTGTTTTGGTCAATTATGTTCTAAAAACAACTGTAATGATAACCCAATTCAAGGAGAAACCTAACATTTAGAGCTCTACTGTTGCAGAATTTTTTTTAATATTTTTAAATTTCTATTTATGCATGTACTTTTGTTACAGTTAATTGAATGAATGACAAGAGTCTTGACTATACAATATATTAAGGTACACTTCTGAGGAGAAAATGAAATTGAAAAACAAGTTCAGAGAAAAGGGAATAATGTAAAATTTCCAAATGTTGAGGAGTTTGTATCTTTTTTAATGATGATGGATACCAAATAGCTATAATATTTAGATCCATTAATACCTTTAAGAGTAACATAATTTTATATTAAAAAAATTTAATGTCAACTTAAACATGTCCAAAGGGGTATATTATTTTCAAAATTCTTGTAGAATTTTCAGAAAAGTTTGAAAACTCTGCTCTAGAGGATATCTTCTTAACTTCCTGAAGCTTCCATGTGTCCATCTTTTCTATGTTGTTTTGTATTTTGTTTAATGAGAACAAAAGGAATTTAAAACAAAATCATCATGTTAAGTATCAAACAGGTTCTGAACAAATTTGCACAAATGTCTAACGCCACTCACTTTAGTATAACTCTGTCTCGACACATGCTTTTCCCTGTTTAGGCCATGTCCTTCAAAAACACTAAAGGTTTTCTAAGTCCAAATAGTAAGTACTGGCATAGACAGTTCAACTGATAAGTTACTTGTGAACTAAAACTGTGAGTACAGAGATAATTTTCTAAAGGAAGAGATAAATGTAGAAACCTGGAGCAAGCCCACAAACCTCACTTGGAATTCTCCTGGTGAAGTGCCTTACAATCCCATTGGCATCAGTACTAACAGCCTCAGGTAAAGTTACAACATAGCCAAGCTTTCAAAAACGGAAAGGAGAAAAAAAAAAAAAAACAGAATAGCTATTATCACAAGAGCCTTACCAGCTATAATTGTTGTTGCTTGTCGTCTCACATTATTTTTATCCATATATTCACCATAGTCTACTTTCCCTTCCACATAAATTCGAGACCTGATATAAATAAAATTTACAGTTTTTAGTCTGGAGATTCTAATGTACTTTACAGGAGAGAGTCAGGTTAGAGAGGGTAAGTATACATTAAGGATGAAACAGATAATCATACAGAACCTCATTTTTGCTACCTACCACTTCTCAAAATTCAGAATTAAGAGTACTGAAACAGAGAGTTCCCTTGTGGCCTAGTGGATTCCTAAGGAATGCTAGCTCTAGGATTCCAGGCTTTCACTGCCAGGGCCCAGGTTCAATCCCTGGTGAGGGAACTGAGATCCCACAAGCCACGTGGTACAGCCAAAAAGAAAAAGTAGTGAAACAGAATGTGCACAGACTTGCCACACCTAGGGAAAAGGACAATGTTTTCATCCTTGAGCTAACTGTGGTCCTTATAAAAAAAAAAAAAAAAAAAAAAAAAAAAAACAGTTAAAAATTTTAAACAAAAATTAAAAAAAAAAAAAAAAAAAAGCAACCTTAAGACCATGAAGAGCAACCTAGTGGCATCCTTTAAATCCCTATGGTTAATTTCCAATGTGTTATTTTCTGTCACCGCTGATTTTGGATTCTCTAACAGATTTGTTGATTTTTTCATTTATTTTTTAGTTAGTTCCTTTCTATATTAAGGTTCATAAACTTACTCTCAAAAGACTTAGATTACTAAAATGCAAAATTTTCAGCTTTAGTATTTCACTCAGAGTTAATTACTAAGACTATGCTGTACTCTCTAGAAAGCTGAACTAGAAGACAACCGTAACTCTGATTTCAAAGAGTAGAAAATGGCCATAATGACACCAATTTTCAGAGTCTAACACCACCAAAAATGTACAATACAGAACATAGACAAGACTGGTAAAATGACTGGGTGCCAAAAGGAACAGTCACACAGATTCACCAATCAGTAGGGGAAATTGCATATAGACATTTTCCTTGAAATTTCCTTGAATTTTCCTGTGTTTATATGCGTATATACGCACATATCATACATACATGACAACGGAGGTATATATGAAGAAAAGGTATGCACTTATTTTAAAAAAATAGAAATTTTAGTTACTGCTGAAATTATTTTACATGAAATGTTTTATTTCTATAAAACAAGTACATTTCTAAACATACTATGACTACAACTGCTGTTAAACACATCCTCTTGTCCTTCTGTGGGTCTGGAAAAGATACTTTTTATACATAATCAATCCAAGCATTCCAAAAGGGAACTACTAAGTTTACATAAAATTATCAAATATGAAATAACTGCTGTGAATATTACCATAATACCTCACTGGGTCAGGCTTCCGACATTCCAGACCCTCTGTTAGGCCATCATGTGATGCCAACAGGCGAGACATCTGCCTTCAGGATCGCTGGCCACGGAGGCACTTGCTCACATGGTACTCGGTACCCATTGCCTTCTCTCTTGCCTCATCAGCTCCATTTAAGTACACATCCTCTTTGCCCTAAATTATAAGTTCTTAAAAGGCTAAACCATGTTAAAACCTTTAAATTAGTCGCATATGGCAATGCGCTATGTTTACAGCATTAAGCATTGCATGAATACCTCTTGGGCTAACACAGAGTAATTAGTGGTACTACATAAATAAAGGAGCTACACAGTCCATAAGAACATGTTACCAGTTTCTTAAACCAGCGGTCCCCAACCTTTCTGGCACCAGGGACCGGTTTCGTGGAGACAATTTTTCCCTGGATGGGGGTGGGGGTGGGGGGGTGGCTCGGGCGGTAACGCGGGCCATGGGCAGCGGCAGGTGAAGCTTCGCTGCTTGCCCACCGCTCACCTCCCGCTGTGCGGCCCAGGGCCTAACAGGCCTTGGACCGGGACCGGTCCGTGGCCCGGAGGTTGGGGACCCCTGTTTTAAACCATTCAATCTGTAAGATCCTTCCTTCCTCAACTTACCCCTTTTTCACATACTGATATGCCACATCTCTCAGGCCTGGTCGGAATACTGAAATTCTGTGCCACGTTGTCTTTTGACTGACATCACCTAAATCACAATAGGGAATGTGGTTACAAATGCAAAAGACAAGTGCCAAAGGACAACATGTCCCAGCAAAACCAATCCACAATTTCCAAAAGAGCAGAAAAGAATTAGAGAAGGTCCTTTCTAAAAGTACCTAATTAGGTAATTCACAATAAATAATGTCTATTTACTGCTGATAAAATTAAGAGCCCGGGCTTTTGTACTCACCCATTTGGTGTGTTTCATTTTCCCCTGATCGCCACATCTCATTTGTTGCTAGAGAAAATATTGTGACTGGGTTTTTTCCTTCCACCTGTCTCATGACAGGGTCCTGACCTACTCGACCAAGTAACTGCACACGATTCAGAGCTGAAAGGCAATGTGTAGATAAAACGAGACTGAGAGAAATGTCCAGGGAGGAACAGCTACAAACACTACTCCAACTTCAGTCTTGGCATTAAGCAAAACCCAAGTTCTAGAAGGTTTGAAAGTAAGTTGAAGGGGAAAATAGGCAGAGGTTGGGAGGGAAAAAGAGGATTGGCAAGAAAGGAGAAAATATTCAGAAGAAGTAGCCCCACAAAACAAACGTTAAGCTCTTTATCTAAATTCTTCTTTTAAATACCTGAAGAAACTTCTTTAAACTGTCTGTAGAGTTAAAAGAACAAATCTGAATATCTTTATAAATACAAGGGACTATTTCTGTGAAACAACAGCTTTCACAAACATTCACTTCTTCAGCCAAATAGCACATACCCTTGGAAGACGTAGATAACCAAATAGGACTCAAGGAAATTCTTTGGCAGGAAAGTGACAACAAGAGTGAGTAAAAACTGACTGGTAAAGGAAGAAGGGCCCAATTTACAGGAGCCCTGCAGCCTGGTGGGGCAAGGCCAAGATCTGAGAGGCAAATATGAGTCAAGAGCGTGACGATTAATAGATTATAACCCAACGAATACACCTCTTGTGCAACACTGAGAATATCAGCATACTGCTATAAATAACACGCTTTAAACTTGGGAATCAGCTGCTACTTACATCTTTCGAGAACCAAACTGCCAGCTACTTCAGACTCATGTCTTACAAACTGATGAAGGACCTAAAGCGGCACAAAGAAGTAAAACAGCTTTAATCCGGGGGGAAAGGCAAATACCAACAGAAGACCCATTCACACGTGGTCACCATCTAGTCAGCAGCTCCTATGGCACACATCCACCCAAGACAAGAGGTGTGCCCATCACACAGAGCCAGGAGGACCATGCAAACACTTAAGGGCAGCCTACTGCAGAAGCCCACAGGTACACAGGAGGTACTACACAGTATACCCAAGAGAGTTCATTTACAGTCCTCTCCCGCTTCTTTTGTGGCAATCTTCCTGACTACGGTGCCTCTGTGTTTGTACACAAAAGGTAAATAAATACATGTTGGAAAAAGTCATGCTTTCGACAGACCAAAGAAAAAAGTCTAAGATAAACAAACATGATTCTTTGATAAAGTGCAAAGATATGCCTGCCCAAATCGGTCTGTCAGACAAAGGGAATCACTGCCATGTAACAGCAGCACTCAATAACAACAGCTACCATTGCTGAGTACCCGCTAACTGCTTTACCTCTCATCAATTATTCCTCAGACTAAGTCTATAAACTATGTAAAATTACCACCACTTTATAGAAGAGAAAAATGAAGTTCAAAGAGACAGAGTAACTTGCGCAAAATCCTACAGGAAGTAAGTGGCAAGTCACGCCGAGATCCCAGGGCCGTCTGACCCCAAGGCTGCTGCTTTTCCCAGTGCCCTCTGCTGCCTCTTTAAGGACATTCTGTGTAAGGGCTACTGCAAAGATATGAGGACACATCACTGGGAACATCACTGGGTTCAGAGAGCTAAACATTACATCAGAGAAACATGCGTCAAGTGGTGGCACTGTTAATAAGCGACCAATTAAAACAATACCCACTCCAGGGGTGGTACTTCTGGCTATGGAATCCTGGCGCTATGTTTGGGAGCAGAGAGTGGGTAAGAAAATAAAAATGTGAGTTACAACATATTAAAGATCAAACTGCTAACTGCCACCTGTGTCATGATTCCAGAAAGGTGCTAATCTGAGTGCTCAGATGAGGCAGAGCTCCTAAGTTTCATGGAACGACAGTTTGCCTCATTGGGGGCACACAAAAATCAAGACCTACCGGAGGAGCAGAAATGGGGAAAGAATTAATTTAACTGGGATACTTTTTTAAATTAAACATTTAACTCTTTCATACACGGCTTTAAAGATATCGTAACACTGCAGAATCGTGTATTAAGACAGGAATAGCTTTTCCATGCTTCACATTTCAACACATGAAAAAGTATACGTTTCAAAAGTATGTATAAGTTAGTACGGATCCAAGAATATAGGGCCAACTCTACAGCAGGGCGGGGGAAATATGAACAGGTTTCACAGAGGAATTGCTTCTTCCTTATCTTCACAAGATGAGTGCGAGAGGTGTTCTAAAGGAGAATCTATAGCACTTGGTGCCCAGATGAGCTTAAGCGAGCAAAAAGGGGTCTAGGCTGGCTCAAGGCTGGCGAGGCTGACTGAGGAGATCAGGGGAGGAGTCTGACTGGGTGACACGAGAAGCAATCCTGGACCTGGTAAACGTGTGGTGATGCTGAGACCTCACCTGCTCTCCTCAGCACAAGGAGGCAGGGCGGGGTGGGGGGGCAGGCTGACAACACATGAGGCACGTGGTCAGGAAAGAAACCACTTGTCTTATTAAAAATATAGTAATTTTAAAAAGCTGGAACAACGGTTCTCATGGTCTGCAGATCAACGACGACCTTCAATGCTCTCTAACTGATCTACGTGCAAGTAGCACATGTTTTTAAAAGTAATTATTCCCATTATATATGTGAACACACTAGAGAAGTTTCGTTTTGCTTTAGTGAACATTATTTACCCAAGTAAAATCTGTCCCCAGCCCTCGTGTCAAATAAGTACACCAAGGTGTGTGGGCTCAAAGGACTTTTGCCTCTGCAGGCAAAAGCCTAAAGAAATTTGATCACCATGGCTTATAGTAACACACCCCAACACTAATACAAAGAAGTGATTACCTGCACTACAGGTCTTCGAAACATGGCTTCTATTTCCTTTTCTTACAATCTAACCTTTAATCTTTTCCTGAAGAAAAAAGAGATCAATTAAGTCCTACAGCAAGAATATGAATTCACTGAGTCCTAAGTGCCTAACTGCATCCACGACTTTTACGCAACCCACCTTTAGACCGTATCGCATCAACAGTCCTGCACAGGGGACGGGAAAGACTCCCTCCTGCTCCCAGAAAGCTCCTCTCGCACTTTCATGCCTCTTTGATCCCCCTTAACTTCCTCCTCCTCCAACCCACACCAAAAAATCCTGATTCTATCCCCATTTCCGTTCCACTGTCTTCTCAAATTTTATTCAAATGCAAGTTCCCTTCGGGCAGGGACTTCTGTCGGACTTATTCACTGTTACACCCAATACCCCTAAAACAGCTCCTAAGACATACTAAGAGCTCAATAAATATTAAAATGTTAGCACGGGGCTTCAATCTGAAACGTGTGGCCGTAAAAACGACCGCCTCCAGCCCCGTCACCAAAGACCAAGGAGATCCCTGGGCTTCGCCGCCTCACCGCCGAGATGTGCGGGCGCCCCTTCTCCAAGATGACGCTCCCAACCAACAACGTAAAGGAATTGAGAGGGGCGACGAAACCACGGAGTCCTCTGCGCGAGGGAGAAGACAAGGTCCACACACCGACACAGTACCGCCTCCAAGACCTACGCAAAGCCTTCCGCCCCTTCTCCCTCCCTCACCTGAAGCTCAGGCTCCGACAGCTTCCAGGCAGGAACTCATTTCCGGTTGCTGCTGGGACGCAAGACTCGCGAGAAGAAGGAGGAAACGGAAATCCCGCTGCGTGCGTCGTAGAAATGAGGCCGGCCGGCGCCGCGGGAAACACGCCCCCTTAACGCGGTAGTTCCGAGAGCTTCCTTGTGGGCGGGAGCGAATGAGTCAACGCCGCCAAGTGGTTCAGTTAACCTATTTGCAAGTTTGTAGCGAAATGAAATTACTATCTGAAGAGGTTCCCGGCCTGGGACTCGGCAGGGTGGACCAAACAAAGGCTAGCTGCGCCTCTGGAAAAAACTAGAAAGGTTCAGGCCTCCAAAAGCAAGAAGATAAAAACAAAACAACAACAAAAACAAACAAAAAACGGAAAAAGTAGAGAAAGAGCCGAAAGCGCAAAATTTAAGGGTCACCAAAAAAATGGGAATCAAAATAAATAGTAATGCAATGTTTTCAAAAGTCAGAATTAAGGCAAAAAGTTCGTGAATAAAATATGAAAAATTTTATTAAATACAGTATCTGAGCCAGATAGGATCCTAAGGCACCAGGAAAAACGTGTGCCCCTATATACAAGTTTTTATGTATTTATAAAAAACTTTCCAAGAACATTAAAGTACTTGAAGAAATATTGAACATCTGAAAATTAGGTGTATTAAAACTAACAACGTTGCTTTAAGTTTAAATATTTTGCTTTTACCAAAAACATAATTTTACCTTCCTGGCTTTAATAGAAGTAAACTGACTGATACTATTTTCAAAATCTACTTCTTTGCTTGCTTTATTTCCGATTGCAAGAGTTGCCGTGCCTGATCATTCTTCCTGAGGAAGTGGCATTAACTTCAGCTTACTGAACTTGCCTTTATTTAGAATTCTGATATTTTGTTAATTGTGGATTTTTCATTAATTTTAATATCTTAAAATTATTGCATTAAAGTAGCATTAATCTTGAATGCTGGGTTTGTTGGCCCCCCTTAAATTTTGTCTTGTTCCCCCTAATCCTGTCCTTGGTAAGGAAAAGGGGATTAGAGGCCCATAGACTGCAGAATACAGGCCAGAGGGAGCCTCCCCAGGCCTGTTCATCACCTGGTCCTGGCACTGTCCAGCTTCTAGAAAAGGTACCCTCCACATCATTCTAGTAAGCAAATCTCCTCCTCAGGACCCTACTTAAAACCTTTCAATGGCCCATTCTTGCCCCAAAAGGAAAAAACACGAACTACTTCATGTGGTTTCCAACACATACCCTAACTCACTCTTAAGAGTATGACTTACTACTTGGTATATTTATTGACGCTTACCTCTGTTTTACTTCCACCTTCAAGATGTTTAGTCCTGGAAACATACCATGTTATGCTGCCTTCAGGTCTTGCACAGGCATTAATCATCCCACACTCCACTGTGTTACTACTGTAACATACCCTCTGATGCTTTCCTATTTAAAACTCCTATTTCCACTTGAGCTGTTGAGTCAGGTGAAAAACCAAATTCACCCTTTCCTTCAAAGCCAGTTTCCCCCTTCTAAGCTCCTTGTTTGTTTTAATGGTACCAAGATTCTCCCAGACTTGAAGTTTGGAATCATCTTTGACACATCTCACTGATCACCTACATCTGTTCATCCATATCCAATCACTTGGCCCTAAAAGTTCTATCTTCATTAGGCCACAGATCTCTCCCTCTTTCTTTCTGTTCACAAACACTTTGGGGTAAGCAGAAAGCACCATGCAAATTGAAAATAGACGCACCTTTGGCAAACTTTTATAACCTTATGAATAACATCTCAGTGGAGAATCTGGGCTAATCTGAATTCTCTCTCAGACAGGAGTTACCAATACACGTTCTCCTTAGACTGTTGGCTGGAGAAAGTTGCAAGTGCTGTTTTCTTTGACAAAGAAAAACATATTAAGATGTATAATGTCATGGAAGAACAGAGTTAAAACATTTTCTTCTGTCATCAGATAGATCCTCCTTCACAATATGACAAATACTTCAGCATTGCTTTACTCTTCAGCATCAGAAATGTCCTTTCCACATACTTTCAAAATTCTCTACTCAAATCGTCTTTCCTTTGTTCTCCCATTTCACTTTCTTTACACACTCAGTCTATCTTGTATTAGAATTTAAATGCCCATGAAGGTGCCTCCTCTTCCCCATTGATTGTGCGCTCTTAGAGAATAGGGACCTTGTTGTGAATATCCAGTTGGCAATTATGCTTTAAACAAGAACAGGCCACAGGCCAGAACAGAGAAATAGAACCTAGAAGGATACTCAAATAGGCCTGAAATTAGAAAATTAAAAAAAGAAAAAGAATCTAGAAGAGTAGCTGAAATGTATTTTTTAATTAAACATACCACTTTTACAAGAATCTACAATTTGCATTTTGGTGAGGAATTCCTGAAACCTCTTCATGGTGTGCATATACCTGCACACGCTCTAACATAATCATAAGCTTTCTGTAGTTCATCCACAGACCCAGAAAGTACCTTCCCAACGCTGAGAAGTGGTGAAAGCATCATGGCTTTAATCAGTTACAGTTACCCCTGGCAACAGTGGAATAACTCAGGGCTTTCATCCTTTACAAAGCTAGCTGAGAAAGAGACATGTCTATATGCCCAACTCCACAAAGTTATCTTTGGCCTTGCCTTTTTTTTTCCTTATGATAACAGATCAATTTTAATTCTAGGGTGCGCATTATAAACTTCATGGAACTGTTGTACACATTCGATAAAGTGACAACTGTGCGATACCACTTAGTATCTCAAAATCAGGAACATACATTGGAATTGTTTAAACAGAATCCACAGAATTAAAAACAAAATCAGAAGTCGTCCACAGTTATACTCATTGTCAATTAAATGTTTTATCACTTACTACTTGATATAACAGTCAATATCTAGTAGGGGATATTGGAAGTGATTTCAGATTCTCATCCTGTTGTACTCTGTTGGGAAGGTTTCTTGAGTGGCTATGTGACTGGCCAAAGGTGGGTACAACTAGGACCCGAACAGCATGTAAGGTTCTACCACAGTTTCTGTAGTTTTCACTTTTTTTCCTTTGTCAGTGAAAAGTGAACAGTAAGAATTAAATACTTATCTTTACATATACACACGGTGTGCTGTGAAAGCATATTTGCTAAAAATATGGAACGCTTCACGAATTTGCGTGTCATCCTTGCACAGGGGCCGTGCTAATCTTCTCTGTACCGCTCCAATTTTAGTATATGTGCTGCCAAAGCGAGCACTGGCCTTGCCTTTTTTCCCCCCTAAATTAAAAAAAGTCTCAGCTATAGGCATCAAGTGGTAGAGACCAGGGTCGGCAATGCTTTCTCACAGATAGGAAGCTTTGGACAATTTCAGTGCTGTAGAAGAACATTTTTTAGATATTTTAATCAAGTTTTCACTTTGCTTTTAAATCAGTTTTTCCTCAAGCCTCATAACTATTGGAAAATTACAGCACTTATTACTTAAACTGATTACTATCACGTTTTACATTGATTCAAAAGCAATTTTAGCAATACTCCATAGTTACTATGGCTATTTTTTTGTTAAATTTTTTTTGAATTTTATTTTATTTATTTTTTTATACAGCAGGTTCTTATTAGTTATCCATTTTATACACATCAGTGTATACATGTCAATCCCAATCTCCCAATTCATCACACCACCACCACCATCCCCACCATTTTCCCCCTTTGGTGTCCATGTTTGTTCTCTACATCTCTGTCTATTTCTGCCCTGCAAACCAGTTCATCTGTACCATTTTTCTAGGTTCCACATATATGCGTTAATATACGATATTTGTTTTTCTCCTTCTGACTTACTTCACTCTGTATGACAGTCTCTAGATCCATCTATGTCTCTACAAATGACCCAATTTCGTTCCTTTTTGGGGCTGAGTAATATTCCATTGTATATATGTACCATACCTTCTTTATCCATTCATCTGTCGATGGGCATTTAGGTTGCTTCCACGACCTGGCTATTGTAAATAGTGCTGCAATGAACATTGTGGTGCATGTCTCTTTTTGAATTGTGGTTTTCTCAGGGTATATGCCCAGTAGTGGGATTGCTGGGTCATATGGTAGTTCTATTTTTAGTTTTTTAAGGAACCTCCATACTGTTCTCCATAGTGGCTGAATCAGTTTACATTCCCACCAACAGTGCAAGAGAGTTCCCTTTTCTCCACACCCTCTCCAGCATTTGTTGTTTGTAGATTTTCTGATGATACCCATTCTAACTGGTGTGAGGTGATACCTCATTGTAGTTTTGATTTGCATTTTGTTAAATTTTTTAAAAAACTCAACCTGACAGTTTTTATGCAATTCAAGATTGACAGTATGGTTCATACAGAGATTTTTAAGATATCTAACTGTTCAGGCTGAAATGTTGACATTTATCTTTCAGTGTTCATCTTTCTACAGTTTTAGATAAATAGCTTCTATAAATTGGTAGATGTGCTAGAGCTTAGTAAAGCACAGTAGTATTTCTTTATAAGGTTTCTTTAACTCAAGATTGTCTGTTGGCGCCTTAACGTCAGTGTTCATGTTTAAGAAACAGAACTTCATGACTGAGGATGGAGTTTCTCACTGAGGCCAGGGGTCAACTTCCAACTGAAATGGAAAGGGGTAAATTCCGAACCCAGTGAGGATCCAGTCCCTCTCACACTCAGCGTCTGTGCAGCTGCCTGCTCTTTTGGTGACTTCCTGCTACTGTGGAGCCCAGCAGAGAGAAATGGAGGGAAACCAACAGTCTGGCATCGGGTCCATTCAGGTGCTAGAACAATCTTTGAGGAACATGGTAGAGAAGGGGTCGTAGGCCCTAAGAGTAGTTGTCAATGCCTGAGAAGAAAAGTGTAACCACAGAATTGTGGGCTATACATTGCATGCTCTTAATAATATACCTGCTTATAAATCGTAAAGTGTGGTTGACCTTGCAGCACTGTCCCGCAAGGGACATGGCTGGTGTCAGGGAGGCAAGAGATAAATTAACTCAGTTTTAAAACCTGAATAATCAACTATACTCC